GCTCCTAGCAACCTGCCGCCCTGCTTATCTTTCTGGGTTACTGAAAACCACTTTCTCAGGGTCACCACAGGTTTCATTTTCCCTCTACAGAAAACACCAATTTGCAAAATGTAAAGTGGCGCATGGAGGAAGACTGTCAAGTGGTCTACCTATTTAGGTTTATTTTGCATTTATGTTTCATCTTGGTTTCCTCTGTGGCCATGGGCTGTTTGAAACACTCATAATAAGTTGTATTGTTGTGTTTTTACTGGATGGTTTCAGCACTTTCTGTGTTGCTGTAAACTGCTTCAGGATTTGTACAAAAGAAAAGATGTTTAGAAACATTTCTTAACAATAACAGTAATAAAAACAGCAGCAGCAGCAGCGATACAGCAATTTCTTGCCTCTTGTCCATGGAGGCTAAGGTGGTCTGTGTGGTTAACCCACACTCCCATTTTTATCCTCACAATAATCCGGTGAGATGAATTAGACGGAGAGGTAGTGACTGGACCAAGATCACACAAAATACTTTGTTGTTAGGTGATGATTTGAACCTGTCTCCCTCTTCTGAGGTTCACTTCAAAACTCTATAAATACTACATCACAATACTGGTTCAAATGGATTTCTTAAGCATGGCTTTCACAATATAGACAACCAATTGGGTGTTTCTTGTACATTTATAAGGCCACCACAGGTTATGAACTAGTCAGGGGTTTCACATTTCTTGCATGGAAGCATCTTTGCTATAAGGGGGAGAGAAACACCGTATTCCCAAGCAGCCTTTATTTTGATTTTAGATGCTACCCATTTCCTCTACTTGTATAGGTAAGACCAAAAGAAATAATAAGACTTTAGCACTAGGGTTGAAAAGTAGAGTTGGAAACTCATTACGTTGTGTAATGAATCTTTACACACTATATTTTCACTACTAGTTGCTTATATAACCCTTTTTAAGCTGGCAACCTTCTGATATGTGTTGATAACAACCTGCATCATATCTTGCCTGCAGGGCTAGGGGGTTAAGGAGGTTGGGGAAATGCATTTGTTTTGCTTCATTCTGTGTTTTAATCTTTGAAAACCTCAGCTTTTCTGTTTTGAATAGGAGGAAATGTGTGATTTTGAGTAAATTCCTCAAAAATATACTAAGATGACATTCCTCCTCATTTAGCACACTGGCCTAACACAATAAGTAAACTACTCCCAGCATGGCAAGGATCATGTTGTACCTGCCTACTAAATACTTATAAAAGACGATGTGCCTCTCAGAAATAAAGACATGGCAACTCTAACTCAGCACCAATGTGGGTTGAGTGCAGAAGGATTCAGAACCCAGGTAAGTTGGAAAATCTGAAACTGACAGATCCATACATCAAGGCATTGCACTTTGAATGATTAACTCTTAAAAATACATGCCCTGAACCAGGGGCCTAGATGGGTAGATCAGGTTTTCCCAAAAGTTTTCATACTTTCAATTTTAAAAGAAATCTCATTTTTCCCCATCCTAGGTATGGAGAAGTGTGTGAATTTTGTCAAATTCTTCTAAAACTGAACTGAAACAAAAATTCTCATCCAATAAGTAGTTACACATTTTTATATAAGAAAATCCTTTGAACACAGTCTTCACAAGTTAATTACTGTTTAAAACTTTTCTTTCAACATAATCTTTTAAAGGAATCCACTGCTTATAAGTAGCTCTAATAAGAAT